TTGATTCCACTCCAATGGCATCAATTCTTATCTTCAGTTTGAAGTAAGATATTAAAATCATCGTATTTTCAACACCAATTCTTATCTATCCTCCACATCAAACACGTAGTAGTCGGCAGATCAGTAAATCGGCTAGCTACGTTCATTTTGTGGACTGATAAAAAAAATTACATTTTATATCGTTTAGACATTATTATCATGACAATTACTATTCCTTAGTACACTTTGATGTCACTGTTACTATAAAAGATTACTATCACTATTATTTATTTATTTATTTGTATGTACCTCAGCTACAAAACAAGTACTGTTTTTTTTTCAGAAACGATCAATTTTCAATCTATTTTTTACCCTCTTTAATTACTGTGTACATAGATATCTTTGTTTATACATTAAAAATCTTTGTTCATGGTTTGTGCAAAGAGAAACCAACCCCATTTAATTGACATGAACTTCTATTTCAATTTTTGTTGTTGAACTATTTGTAAATACGTTCAAACTTTTTGATGTGGTTTTGTTCTCTGAGCTGGATGGTTAGTTTGCGAAGCTTTCATCGCCCTACTGGGTGACATCTTCAGCGCATACTTCAAATTGAAGTATGAAAGCTTCGCAAACTAACCATCCAGCTCAGAGACCAAAACCACATCAAAATTATCCACCTGAGCTACAAATCTTCTCTATCATATCTAAATCTTACGAGCGGGACACGTTCAAACTTTACACGATCCAAATACCTTTTCGCGTACACGCATGTAATTATGTATCCTTATTTTTATCCTAGAAATGGTTATTAATATTATTATTTACTTCAATAACAGTGAAAGTCTGCGGTAGACTTTCCGGACCTCTAGGGGGGAGCCGTATGGAGTACGTACCAATATGACTGCACACTTTTTGTTAGATGTTGAAAATAGTGACATTGTGCATGACTCTTGTTTAAAACGATTCATGTTTAAATACATATAACTTCCGAGTACAATTTTAAGTGCAGTATACTGTTGGTAGATTCACCTTCTCACGGTCATTACTGTCTACTTGCTCCACTCATACCGTGTTGTATACTTTGGATTTATTGCAGGAACCTATTATCCTTATCCAAAGACAATTCTACAACCGGCACACAGCTTCTACTAATAGACATGATTCCAACAGTGGATCATATTAATAATTTGTAGCAGTGGCCTTTAACAGTATATCCAAGTAACCTTTTAATTAATATAACTCATTACTGCATTTTTGATAATATATTGTTACACTTTCATCTCATTGACTTGGATTTTTATTCCCATATTTGTTATGTTACTGAGCTCCTTAGGCAGTCCCCTTACGACGTAGCCGTCGGTGCAGTTTCTCAAAAGTTTTCTGCTGGAAAATGGCAATCTCTCTCCTTTTTATCCAAACGTCTAGACGGTACCCCATCAAGATATAGCGCATTCCATAGAGAAATACTATCAGTCTTTCTTGCTTTTAAACATTTTCTTCATATGTTTGAAGGAATACCGCTTACCATCTGCACAGACCACAAACCTTTAACTAAAGCGAAGTACGATAAATAATCACCTATATAGCTCCGGCACCTCGAGGTCATTTCTCAGTTTACTTCAGATTTTAGATTCGTCGAAGGACATAAAAACGAGGTAGCAGATGCCTTATCCCGCATCCATATAAATACCTTAGAAAAAGATCAGTTTGATCCTAAAAGGATGGCTAGACTGCAAACTATGGAAGAGGATCTAAAAAGACTGAAAAATAGCACGAGTTCTTTCCTACATTTGCAAGTATAATGATTCATGTAAGCCTAACTATTACTATGAGATGTTTCCAATTGGAAACCGCGTCTTTTTGTCCCATGAGAATTGCGAATATCAGACGCCATTCGGAAGTTACTTCGACACTACGGCGTGCAGTGCCCAAATCTTTATCAACCTCATTCAGCAGCTGGCTATATGACAATGCCACGCGTTAATCAGGGGATCCATAACAGGATACTCAGCGAGGCGTCCGAAGTGAACACAGGAGTAAGACAGGCGGTCTGCCTATTATCACCGACGATGATATTCTTAATTGTGATAGACTGGATTATGCGTTAGACTGTGCATGGAAGTGAGGAGACAGGAGTACGCTGGACCACCGATGAGAAGACTCTAGAAGATCTGGATTTCGCTCCTGGATGATATACATCTAATGTCACATAAACTCGAAGACTTACAGGCAGGTGAAAACTAACAAACTGGCAGGAGAGGCAGGCAGAGAAGACGGAGGTGATTAAGATACCCAACGAACAGCAACGACAAAAACAACAACAACCAGCACCAATCACCACCAGAGGGAGAGATTTAACAAGGGGTTACTTATTGCGTTTACTTATCTAGGAAGCATTGTTTCAAATACGGGCAGCCAGGACCCATGGAGATGTCAAAACTGGCCAGAATAGGAAAAGCAAGATACACACGCCTTCATCAACCTGAAACCAGTTTAAAATTTCCTGTATTCAGAATAGGGAACAAGATTCAGATTTTCAACATCAATGTGAATGCGGTCTTCCTATACGGGTCAAAAGTTTGCGCTGGGTATCAGTGAAGAAAAGGATTTCCAACAGCCGACTGCAGACTTTTATCAACAGCTTCCTTCCCTGCCTCCATACTGAAGGCGAAATAGGCAGCCAGAAAGAAGTACTAACAAGAAACTCCGGCGGAGAACAAACCAACCACGAGCCGATCGCTCAGCTAATATGTGGGCGAAAAAAGGGATGTATCTGGCATTTATTGAGGAGGCCATCGAATAACACCACGCTCCAGTACCTCAAGTGGAATCCTAGAGGGAAATGACGAGTGGGGCGTCGGTGCTAGGGTGACATGGAAGAGCTCTTATGAGGAGGAGATGAGAGATTTTGGGCAGTCGTGCTCCAAACTGTAGAGGACGGCAGAAGATAGGACAAAGTGGAGATGTGTTGTTGAAGCCCTATGTTCCACTCGGAACTCAAGGGAACAATAATAATAAATAATTCGTTTTAACGTTTTGTCACATCAAAAGAGATTTCACCAGGTATTCTGGTAAGTTTAACATTTACAACTACCAAAGTAACTAATCTGTCCAACAAAGAACTGGTTTGTATACAGCCGGTATGTTTACCATCTCTCCTGACAACTTCGTCCGAACAACTTCTAAGAATGCACAAACTCAGGACGAAAATAGTCAGCGAGCATTAGTTGGAAAAAAGAAACCAACAATTAGAATACACGAAAACGCAGATTTCACAGGGTTGGAACAGAAAAATCCATTTATCAGCCTAGAAACGAATCATTGCCTATTCCAGTTTTTTCACTGAAATAATTTCAGGGAATAAGTATGGAAGAAAGGAGACGCTTCCTAGTTAGAATGAAAATGTGAAAAGTGACGGGCTACTTTGTCCACCGACCAATTAAGTGACTGCAGTAAATTACAGCAATGCATATGTATTCACTCCTTATCTTTCAGACTCTGAAAATCCCCATTACCCTTCACTTAAGTGATTTTCTCCTCTACGTTTACGTCCTTTGGGGTTTCGGCACATGCATTCTTCTCCGCTTTCATGTGTGCTATTCAAATGTGACAAGTTCGATTGAAGAACTTTTCAGCATCTATATTTATTGGTATTACTTACACACAGACTAGACTTTTCAACTGCATGAAATAACCATGACAAAATTGACCATTTTGTACAGTTGGACACATGATCTTCATCAAGATTATACCAGGTTAAATAAATCAACTCAACATCATTGCTGTCTACTTATTTATTTAACTTAATAGTTACAGGCACTTTGATATTCCATGTTGTTTTGGTTAATGGCACTGCTTTGTTGTATTAGACAAAAGATACAATGACCTTTCAACTCTGCTGTAAAGATGCACAATCTGTCCTCACAGAAAAGAACAATTTTAGTAAAACGATTAGCTAAATTATCAACAAATCATGTGACTAATAAATAAGACTTGAGTTCATTACTTCCTTCCTTCGTACGTTTTCTCTTCGGCACACCATTCACATCATCCATATCTTGTGTCATTTGATTGATGGATAACATCTCAAGTATGTAGATCAATTTCACCAGGTGAACAGTTAGTTCTCTTCAATATCTAAAACATCCCCCTTCGTCACAAACACTACAAGTAAGATCATAAAATATTCTGACAGGTTGGCGAAAGTGAGAGAAGTTGTTTGTTTATTCTTGCGTTTCCTCCTGTTACATGTGGTATATTGTGATAAAATTTTGGCCAAAATATAGGTGCACTAACAAGACTTGTTTCAAACGTACACTCGTATGGACTAGCGCCAACACCACTGTTGTCACGTTCTCTGTTTATGTTAGAGACTGTTGCATTCTCTGAACCGGTTGTACAGCCTTTCGAACAAGATCAGTTATTATACCTTTTTCTCAGAATTATCTTGACTTCTTTTTTATATCCAAATATACTGCTTGAAGGAGCAGATTACTGTTTATCAGAGTCTTTTTAATCTGCGCCGTGTCATCAGTACTTAAAATATAGGTAGAGTACTGATTTATCGAACACCAGGCAGATTTCATTTATTGATAGCCTAGAAAAAACAAGGTTAAAATCCTCTTCTATACCAAGTATGTCGATGACACTTTCGTTATTTGTAATTCTTTCAATGATGCATCTCAAGTATTAGAAGTCTTGAACAGCGCCCATCCTAATATTAAGTTTACAATGGAGTATGAAAAAGAGGAGAAGTTCCATTTTCTTGACTTGGGTATCCAACGAGATATAGACGGAAGAATCATAAGATATAAGATATATACACAGAAAAGAGACCTGGAGGCCGGTTCATCTTAACTTCAAAAGCTTCTGCCCTATAAGTTATAAAAATGGAATGGTGAGAACATTATTTGATCGTGTGAGGAAACTGTGTTCAAAAGAAAAGATTGAGGAAGAGGTATCCATTGTGGATAAATGCCTACGCGACAACGGTTACCCACAAAAGTTCATCGGCAAGTATGGGAGACGTCGTGTTGAAGTTAGCTCGTACCGCCCCGTATTATCGTAGAAATCGTCCGCATATATGCTCTTTCTGGGTAAAAGGTGAATGTAGAAGAGGTGAGGAGTGTCCTTATCGGCATGAAAAGCCTACGGATCCTGATGATCCACTTTCTGAACAAAACCTGAAAGATCGTTACTACGGTCATGATGACCCAGTTGCAGCCAAATTACTGTCGAAATATGACTCAATGCCTAAGCTTACACCTCCAGAGGACCGTACAATAACTACTTTGTATATTGGAGGTATTCCTGAAGGCATGACGGAAAAGGATCTACGTGATCACTTTTATCAATTTGGTGAATTACGTTCTGTCAATCTTCACGCCAAACAACGGTGTGCTTTCATACAATTCACTACTAGAAGTGCTGCAGAACGTGCCGCCGAACGAACTTATGATCGGTTAATTTTAGGTGGCCATCGGTTAACCGTTAATTGGGGAAAATCACCAGCGGCTTTGGCTGCAGCTAATTCTCACTTATCAGCAGAAACGGGTGATATAAGCCTACCTCCTGTACCTGGTTTGCCTCTACCTCCTGCTTTACCTCCAACCAATTTATTGAACAGAGCTATGTCAGTTGGTCTTAGTGGAGGCTTTTTCATGGCGCCGCCTCCACCACCCCCGCCGCCACCACCACCTTTTACCAGATCTCTATTAAACTCTACTTCTGATCTAGCATCGGGTGATAAAATGCCTATTGTCTCGACTATACAAATCGCACCACCAGTAGTTGAACCACTACCACCCGGAGGTAAGTTACATATTTCAAGCCATATTAAAAAGTACAAAGGTGAAGGATTAAGCTTATTTACCCATTTGTATAGTATCAAGCTTATTCTGCCTCACTTCTTGTATGTCTCTAAATAACCTAATTTTTCCGTACTGGTGCTTTTACTAGACATTCAGTAGGTTGTGAGTATTTTGCTCAGTTTCCATTCTCCACTGTATACCTATTGCTGATTATCTAGCCATTTAAAGCCTCAATATTTTGAAAAATTAAAATGCCAAGGTAGATTTTAGGTAACTACTTGGTACGCTGATAGTAAGATTTACAAGTAGAGAGTATGCCACTATCATGTAAGTACAAATAATAAGTTTGAAGAGCTTTATCTGGTTAAAGGTGTTTATTGTATCGTCGGTAGTTGCAAAATTTATTGGGCCTCTTTTTCATTTTTGTGTTCAAAAAGAAATCACATTTCATATAAATTAATTGTTAAGACATTTAATTTAATTTGAGATTTTCCCGTCGATTGATTGGACTGCTAGTCACCATCCACAAAGTGAATTGTTAAGACAGTTTGTATGAATGTTTTTTAAGGAAAATATATAAACTTTTTAATGCAAATGTGGATAATAAGCAACTATGCTTAATGTCCCCATTGTCTGAATCGACGAACTCATTGGTCACGGAGATAAATATCACCTCTCTTACTTGAAGTCTAAGTGGATGTCGATCTATGAAATCAAATTATTCCGTCGTTTTACAATAAAGTATTGATTTCTTACAATATGTTAAATGAAAGACTGTAGCAACATCTGTAATTTGTTCGCCGATATATGCTTGACAAAAGGGTTTGTTAGGCTGTTCTTTCTATACCAGTAAAAAGTTTGAGCATTGTGGATTAGATCAAATAAAGTATAATTATATTCCAATAATTTATACACAATAAGTTATGTTGGTAATATTTCGAGCAAAATTACCAATAACAAAACTTATCATTGTGTGTAAATTATTGAAATATAATTATACTTTATTTGTTCTTTCTATGTTCATGGTAAGTGGCGACACAGATCTGTGTAGTTTTTTGGGGCTAATTATACTTAACTTACGTAGATGAATTGGATTTTTAGTAACCACCAAAACGTCATGAATTAAAAGTGATTTATAGCACACTAATACAAACAAGTCAGAATGAAATATCCGAAGAAATTGTGTGGCTCTCACGTCTTCACAGGAAAAGTTACTTTGTTCATCCCCTCTGGTATTTACAACCAGTGGGATGTATTTCGAACCATTCGCAGAGTCAAAACTGCGGTAACATGAGTGAGTAAATGCTAAATTGCCACTGTATTTTGATCGTCATATGATAAAGCCCTCGTCGCTTGACGTTTGACAGGAAGATTTATCGTTTCTAGTAAATTGATTAAACTAAGCTTCCAGCCAATCAGAAAGTTTTCCTTCAACGCTTACTAATTAATATAAGAATAGAACTTGGGCGCTATGTTAGTATATGATTTCATCGTAGAATAAATTCATTTTATAAAAACAGTGATACAGTTCAAATGAACTGTCGTCAAAATTTGACAGAATAGTTCTAAAATATTTTTTTACAAACAGTGATACAGTATTATTTATTATTAACTACAAATTAGGTGTGCGTCGGTGGCACAGCGGTTAGGATGCTCGCCAACCATGCACATGGTCCGGGGTTCGATCCCCGGCCCACGCACTCCTTTACCTCGCTAAGCCAGAAATAATGCTGGTAAAGAGAAAAAGTTGGGCATGAGGCTAGCAACCCCATCCTGTAAAAGTAAACACTGCTATAGAAAATTCAAGCCACTAGCTTGAGGCCTTATGTTCCACTGGGGAACGTGAAGGAAAAAAACAAACAAATTAGGTGCTATTTACTTCCCCTGGTTAAATCTATGGTATCATTCATTAGTGCACTGTTGTTTTCTTTTCTTTTCAGAAATATTTATGCGTGGCCCACCGCCACCACCTTTGCCACGATACGTCGTTCGTCCTACTGCTGGCTTATTGCAGACACCACCGTCATCGGTTTTGCCTGACCCTAGTTCAACAGGCGTATTGCCTCCAGGGCCACCACCACCACCCCCGCCGCCACCCCCGTCATCCAAAACTGTATCCTCAAAGGAATCAAAGTCAAGTAAAGACACACCAGCTGATGAAGCATTGGGTATTCATTATCCAAGTCAAAATCCTCAACGGATGGGTAGTGTACCGCACACTGAACAGCATGACTAATTAATGTTGTACAATTCCAATGCATAAATATGTCTCATTGAATCATATATAAATGGTTTCATAATCTTATATTCCGGTTTCGATACTCATTCTCTATGGTTTGGACGTTTATAAGCTTAATGATAATAATTAAATTTTATCCCACTTACGTTATCATTGACTGCTGGATGCGTGTAAATATCTGTTTTATTCCACTTAGGATTGTCGTGCACATGGGCTTGTGTTATCCCTACACAAACTCATACAGTATCTTTTTGTATATAGCTAATAGTAAATCTATCAATAGAATTCATATCGTATTTAAGAGTTGTGTTTGATAAACGCTGGCTACCTTAGCCTGTTGTGTAGCGTTTGTAAAACTTAGTATATCTAGTCTCTCATAGGCTTACAATACAAAAGGGAATAATACGCTATTTGACTGACTGGTTTCCACATAGAACTTTGCACTAATGTGCAGCAGTTTGAGTCACTACACTCCGTGCAGCACACAAAGCAAGAGAAGAAAGTAAAAGTAAGTGCAAAATAGAGACAGTAAACAGGGATACGAGGCAAAAAGAATAGTAATATCAATATAGTTTTATTGGATATTATAAGCCACAGGGAGTGGATGCTCTACGCCATTCAGAACGATTTTGAACCATATCACCGATTGTCTCCAGTCACTGGTGTTTACAGTCCTGAGAACCCAAACCGGGAAGTCTACATTTTCCTACGTCGCTTAAACTAACTTTTGTGGATTTCATTGACTGATTAAGCCATGTTTTGGCTTGACCGCCACTAGCTCTTCGTCAACCTGACCCTTTGTCAGCTAACATTGTCTGTCGAGGAAGGCGATGGTTAGGCATGCATAACACATGTCCTAACCATCTCAGTCTACGTAACTTCACAGCCTCGTCTATTGATTTTATTTTATTTTTGACTACAGCTTGATTCCACACTGTATTTTTGGTACAAGTATGGAATTTTCAGCATGGATATCGGTAGCCCAAATTTTGCCCGTCGACCATGGATATCAGGTGTGCGTAGGCAGGGGATCGAACCTCGGAACATGTGCATGGTCGGCGAGAGTCCTAACCACCTAGCACTGGACTCCTAACCTCAATATTGTTCACCCTCTTATACCACTTTACACGGGAGATAGAAGGCAGCAACCTACGATCAAAGACGGCTAACCAGGCTTTTCATGTCTTTCACTTCCAATGGCCGGGTCTCACAGCCATAAAGGAGGATGGAGCGAACTGCTGAGCAGTACACACGTCTTTTGGTCGATAGCCAGCCTTATATCACGTCTACGCCAGAGATGGCGTAAATTGGCATATGAGTAACTAACCTTCTGTATCCGTGCTAAGATTTCGTCAGTGATAAACCTGTTGGGGTTGATGCAACTTCCCGAATAAGTGAAGTAGTCAACTGGTTCTATCACTTAACTCCCTATTTCTAAGCTGCGAGTCAATGTAACCCAGTCCTATAGCATCATGTTACATCTGACGGGAGCAAATCGCATGCCAAACATTCGCAGATTGCAGCTTGAGGTGTTCAGAAGACTCTGCTCAGTTTTGTCAGCATCTTCACCTAGAAGGACTATATCATCTGCATATTCTAAGTCAACGAGGTTAATCTCTGAAGTCAATTAAAGTTAAGTCCGTTAGTACATCTATGATGAAATTGAATAGAAATGGGGGATAGTGGGCATCCCTGACGGACACCAGTAGTTGTAACCATTTCAGATGACAACTCGCCGTAAACCCTCACCTGGTTGCGTGAATTCAAGTAGAGTGACTTGATCAGTGCAATTTATTTTCTTGGCATCCCCTTTACAGTCAAACATCGCCATAGTACCTCTCGGTCGACAGAATCGAATTCCACCTTTGGGTCAAGAAATATGACAATTGTTGGACGCCGCTAAATATGCGTATGTCCCATTCCAGAATCTCAAAGGGTGAAGATATGATCAATACACCTCTTCCTGGTCTAAAACCTGCCTGGTTCTCTCGTGTTTGTTCCTCTCGTGGACCGCTTAGTCTATGCATGATTATTGGGCCTAGGACGTTAGATGCCACCATATTGGTCAAGCTAATACCCCTGATTATGACAGGAAGACTTGTCTCCCTTCTTGTACATAAAAATAATCAATGACTTACACCAACCCGACGAAACTTCCTCTGATTTCCAGATTATGCCTAGTACCTTAGTTAACGCAAACAGTAGACTGTCTCCAACGTACTTAAACATCTCTGGAGTCATTTCATCAGGTCCTGTTGCTTTGCCTCGTTTCAGATTAGTGACAGCATTAGTAACCTCAGTTAGGGACGGAGGACCTGTGTCTACATCCCATTCAGGGAGGTGTTGGATGTTCGGTAAGTTGGGAGTGGCTGTACGCCAGTTGAATTGCTCCTCAAAGTGTTCTTTCCAATGTTCTAGTCGTCTATCCTGGGAGCTAATTATAGTGTCATTTTTCTCAGAGATTATTTCACATATCGTTTTCCTTCTGCAACCTGTTTCCCTGATAAGTCTAAATAGTTGTTTTGTGTCACCAATCGCCAATGCCTTTTCTATCTCTTTCGCTTTTATTGCCTACAACTGTTCAGGGTCGTTACGAAGACTTTTTGTTAGTTTTCGTTTGAGTAGCTTTCGTTCCTCATCATAATCGGAGGTCGCCGGAATCAGGCGTCTTGCGTCAATCAATTCGGTCGTGATGATAAAGATCCAATGCCTCTTACTAACTTTTAGTTTTAGCTTATTAACCGCGTTTACAGCTGTGTTTACAGCTAACTGTATGTTATGCCAGGCTACCTCAGGGGAAGTCCTGCTGTCGACCTCAGAAACTCGTTTCTCTATTTCTTCCTTAAATAAGGACTCAGAGTCTCGATCTAGTTGTGAGTGCGTAATTGCTTCGCTACCAACAATTTTTTATGTCCGTTTAGACGTAGGCATAAACGTGCGCGAACCAGGGATAGGCGGTATTCAACTAACCTTCGCCAACGATACTGTATCGCTATGTGGTCTATCTGAGTCCAGCGTTGATTTGGTGATGGAGGTCGCCAGGTTACACAATGTCTCTCTTTGTGCCTAAAGTTAGTGCTGACTTGGAACAGATAATTATCTGAGCAAAACTGTAGAAGACGATCACCGTTGTCGGTTCGTCGGCAGGGATCTCCATACGTACCACCTACATACTTCTCAGTTTGGCATAACTTCCCTACTTGGGCATTGAAGTCGACTGCTAAAACAACTATATCTGAACGTTTGTTTTTTGCAGCAAATTAGATAGTTTCAGGTAGAAGTTTTCCTTTAGTGTATCCGAACTGCAGTCTGTTGGGGCGTAAGTGGAGACTACGAAAAGACAACGACGGATAACGCCGTCCTTCCTTCTAACGGAACCGTTCAGACTGACCGCACACGTACAACTATCTACTGGGATCCAGTCAAGAAGTGATTTTTCTGCCCTATCATTCAACGCTATCCTTACACCTGCGAGTCCTGGCGAACTAGCTGAGAGGTCTCCTGACCCCCTTCAAGTGAATTTTACAGATTCACCTTGTTGGATGGGCGAGGTTAAGTGAATGACCACACTCGGGTCTTGTATGCGTGTCTCCGAAATACAACACACATCGATGACTAGATGTCAGAGAACTGGCTAGTGATGCCTGTTGTCCGATTTGGAAGAAGGTCCTGGGGTTATATACCCCTATATGAAGTTGGTGACGGGGCTTTAAGAAGCTGTCGGCAGGTATTTCTATTGCTCTCATCGTTGTTTGTGGTCGCAGAGTGAAGTGAAGATGACTCACTAACCTGAAGAATAGTACCAACTGTAGTAGGGGAGTAAGATGATGAAGGTGATGTGGGTAAAGGAGAATTATGCTCAGTAAGGCTTCGTGTGCTCATGGAAGTGTGTGGGTGGTTGTTACTTCCCGGCTGCCCACATCGTGGAAGTTGATTGATTCTTCGGGTACCTGGAACTGAAAGAGGGTTAGTGTTGCGTGACGGCAGAGCCCAGAGGACAACTACTTGTGGCCGGTCACACACGGCCTGTATGAAGTGGTTTCTGGGATTGGTTCCGTATTAGTAAACTTACCGCCAGTTACGGACCACCATAGGGTAAGTCGGGATGTACAATTTTGGGGTCAACCTTTTCTAACCCCCTGATATGTATCCACATATATATATTTATGTGTGTGTGTGCATGTTGGTCTCTCTTTCTGTTTGTCCGGTTAGTCTGTGACCACTTCACTTGTGTGAACTTGTCTCCTTTATTAATGTGTATTCTCCTTATATTATATTATATATAATATGAGTGTTTGTTGACAGTCCGTTGCTTGGTGACATATATCCATATATGTTTGTTGGCATGTCTGCTATATTCGCTATGTATAATTAGATCGACACTCCATTATAATTAGCCATTCATGTTAAGACTGTCTAATGATTCTTCCCACACTTGTTTGAATTATTTATATATATATTCGCATTACAATTTGTGTGAACTACTTTACTTTACAACTACTTTACTTACTTACCACTTTGGTGTGAGACCATTTATTTTCGTCTCCTTGTGTTTGGACAATAGAAGTATCATCGCAAACCTAGTGGTCTTCTGATTTCCGCCTTCTTGCGTCAGGACTATTAGTTTCTCGACCAGTCCATAACAATAATTCAGCGACGAGTACATAACACCCCCTCTCTGCAGAGTGGAGGGACAGCATAGTAGTATACTTTCACCATGTAATTGGACTTGTTTGTTTGGATTTGTTTGTCATTCTAAAGATTGCGTGTTAACATCGATACATTGTAATCGCTCAACTTTTGGATTTTGGCTACTGTAAGAATACACGTCCGTACTCCTTCTCAAATGCCTTCTGATTAACTTTGTGGATGTCGAGTAATCACAATGTTAGGACACAATAATAAACGCGAAGAAGTACTAGGATATACGTGTACGCTATGATATGATTATGAGCAATAAATTGTGCTCGAAACGTCGTCAGTAAACATTACTGTATAACACTGTGAGACTTTATCAAAACAAAAATTTACCTATAATGGAATTAAACTCTACCACAGTGCACAAGTTTTATTCTTATATCTATGAGTACGCTAGTTTGGCCAAATAGAGCAACACAACAGCTCGACCGTAAGTCTCTAGCTAAATAAATCGACTTAAGCAGTGAGGGTTAGCATCCAACGTTCAGTGATTAATTCTGTAGGGAATAATTCTGGGGAATTACATACCGCTGTATATGGTAGTAAAAGATGCTGTCATAGTGACAGTAATATTATCAGCTAGGATTAAGTCTGTTCAATGCCTGAGTCATGCTTATGTAGGAGAAACCTAAGATGAAATTAAGAATCACCTACTTGATTTATTAATGGCGAGTTTTCG